CCAGTTATTTAGAATCAGTTACGAGTACCTGTAGAAATTAACGAGAGCCCGCACAAAAGCGCTTTCTCGAGAAAGTCATTTTGTTATAGTTTAATTCACTCGAGGAGTCAGAAGTAGGAGTACAGGATCGCACTGTACACGGCGAGCAGCGCGTGTACAGGATACGTTCAATATAGTACATGCATGTGTGTGTACCGTGCGTGCGTGTGTGTGCGCGTGCGCATACGTGTACATGACACACGTAATTATCGTAAGAGTAAGATCGAAGGTAGAAAGCGCAAAGGATCGTCTGCTGGCCTTTGCTTTCCATACCGCGTTTCCCTTCACGTTATATAAGCCCGTCTCGCGAGTGACATTTTAACGGGTCGGCACGGCGCGGCGCTGAGCTCCCGCGGCTCCGGTTTGGCGGACGTCGGGGATAAATCAGGGAATAATTGAAAAGCAAACTACCTCGCGGTCGTCCGCGTGACGATAATCGCGCGATTCGAAAGAAAGAAACGGGGGAGAGGGGAGAGAGGGGAGAGGCGATAACACAATGGGATCTGTAATGAATCGGATCTTTTGTGCCCGCTCGGACAATACGCGCGCACGGCGGAGAGGCATAGAAATTCGCCCGAGTTATTATACAAGCCGCGTGATTTCGTGCCTTTGACTCGCGTAACGAGACGCGCGGCGATGTCGGCGGCTCGGAGCAATTTGGCGAGGAAGAAACGCGGCGCGTGAATCGACTTGTCGTTTCTACAAAATGAATTCAATGCCTCGATGATAGCCGGACCGTATTTAGAGACGAACCCCCGGGTACTGGGCTGCCTGGCGATCCGCTCCGCCGCGCGTCATTCCGCTCGCGCGATGGAGAACGCGCGCGGAAGGAGGCTCGTTTCAATAAATTTCAAACGAGCGTTTTGCGCTTTACGATCAAGCCGTTGATCGCGAGGACGACCTCGCGTATACGCGACCCCATCGCCGTAAGAATAGCGCCCGCGATTTATCCCCGCGTTAACCCGACCCATTCGGCAATAGTAATAACTATCCCCCGCACCGCGCCGCGCGCGTCTATTAACATCGCCCGGTGCGTTTTGTACGTCGGAAAATGGAGGACGGGGTCCTCCTCACACTTCGATTAGTGTCATGTTGCGTGGCGACGTTCGACGTCATCGTCGCCGTCGCCGTCGTCGCGGCTCGCGTTTACGACGACCGACGTTCCGTACGGCGATAAATCCCGCCGTACGAGTTCCCGAGTGCGCGCGGTGACGAAGAGCCGCGAGTTTGTTTGGAAAGCGAGCGCTGTGTGTAACGACGCGCGCGTACGCGTTTTATTAGCCGAGCATACTTATTCTGGAGGCTCTCTCGGCTTCGTCGGTAACCTCCTGCCTCCGTGCGGTCCAGCGACAGAGCTCTCTCTCTCTCTCTCTCTCTGTCTTTCTCGGCGAGCGAACGCGCGCGAGCGTTTGCAAACGCGCGCTCCGCAAACTTTGCACAGTCCGCTCACGTGCCGGCGAGAAATTGTCGGACGACAAGCAAGCTGGAGATGCTTTAAAGTTTAGCCGACGCGGAAGAGTTCCTCCCCGGCGGACGGAGTCGCGGATGGGCGCTTACGGGGCCTCGGGTCGGGAGATGCCCGAGAGAATCGCTCGCGGACGCGACTAGAATGTCCGACGAAATTTCGGCAGCGGACCGAAGAATGTCACGCAAGAATTCCCCTGGTGTCACGGCTCGGTTTTGCTTCCTCGCGGAGGAAGCTTTGTTTTCATGGAAAACAGTTTTCTCGAGTTTTC